CACACACACACACACACACACACACACACACACACACACACACACACACACACAAAAGAAAAAAAAGAAAAAAAAAGCATACCCGCATATACAGACCCAGCGCATCTCTTTGTCCCCCAGTCTCTCTCTCTCTCACGGAACAGACTGCCCTGCACGCCAATCGTGTAAATACCTGAGTGGGACATCGAGCACCGTGCTCCGTTACGGCATCAAGAAGTCGGATCTTGTTGCACGCCTAACAAACATCGCTCTCACGTGTGACATCACCGACAGCACCTCTCACGTGTGACATCACCGACAGCACCTCTCACGTGTTACATCACCGACAGCACCTCCCACTATCCAACGACTGGTGCACGCCGTCGAGATCAAGATCGAACGATCTACTACATTTGCCCACGTCCCACTGTTCAATAGCTGGTGCCCACTGTTCAATAGCTGGTGCATGCCACCGAATCAAGATTGAACGATCTCAGATTGCACCAGATCATCCAACATTACCCACCGTTGGATCAGACACCCAGGTCAGGAGAGTCAGGCCCGTCAGCCAAGCCACCCCAGACTCGCGATCCTCGACCCCCCCTTCAAACAATGGGAGGCTTGCCTGACGCGCGATCTAAGACCCCTCTTCACACAATGAAAACCCCCGTTGCCTTTTCCGATCCGACGGCGACGGCTCACGGGAGGATCGCTGCTTCTGCTGGTATTCAGTTCAGAGGCCTACCAAGTGGCATTCAGGTCAGGGGTTCTTGGGTTCAATCCCCATTGGGCTGGCTCATGTATACCTTCCTGTCCTCTGGGCAAGCTTGGCGCCCGCCACCTACCGGTAGCCATAAGGTCGTTGGAAGCCGCCAGAACGGCATTGAGCAGAGAAACTGGGGGCGATCGAAGAACCTCGGTCCTGAGACTACCGGCTGACCCCCTGCCCGGGCGCTAGGTCCCACTTACACGAATTAAGAGATATTGACCGTAGATAGGACAGATCAACGATCCGAATCCCGAAATCCGTGCAAGTGGGTCCTTGCCCCAGGATCGCGTACCTGAGGTCGGGTGAAGTCCCGCATGTTCCCTTGTTGGAGGCTTGAAGTTTTTTGCCTTTTTTGTTTTGCTTTTGGGAAAAGGAGGCTTGAACTCGGGTTGCCCGTAATACTGTAAAATGATAATTAAAGAAAAGGCCTGAAAGGGGGTCCTGTCATTGACAGGCAAGTGAATTGGTTCGGCACCAGTACATCCAGCTATAGGCCGCGGGCCCTTTTCGGAGGCCGCCCGCCGATTGGATTTATTCGCAGCCCTTAGGCTGCGGTATAGTGGGCTTCGGCGTCTGTGTCAAGGTGTCGCATTTTTGGCGGCGGGCGACCAGGACGCAAGTGGGGTTTTCGGGGGTAAAAAATTTTGGGGGATCGGTCCTTGGAAAAATTGCGGATTACCTACAGCTAGCTCTGGTAGAACCGGGACTTTTGGAAAAACGAAGGACCGGTCCTCGGGTGGAAGTGGACCCCAAAAAGAAGTGGGGGCATTGGACCGGTCCTCAGGTAGAAGCGGACCCCAAAAAGAAGTGAGGGCATGTGATCTGCAAAAAGGCCCTCAGGCCCAGGCGTTGAGCCCCGTCTTCTCAAAACAGGAGGTCAGGCACAACAAAACAGGCGTTTTTCAAAAGGCAACTTTGACGATTTTTTGTGCTCAGACGAACATGCACAAAAATCTGAAATTTTGAGAATCCATAGATGAGGTCGTGTTCTTTCCATAAATAATAATAGAACATTTACAAAAAATCATTTAGACTGCGAAATAATTGTCGCGCCGATTCAGCACATTTTTCATTTTTGCCACTCAGCCATGCCTGGTCCAACTAAAAAGTACTCCAAATTGAGTGAGTTTTC